ACGTGCAAATCTACGGTGAGATGTTCCCACACGTCTGCCGGTGAAGCTTGCCGCTCCGTGTGTGCATCCGAGCGTCAGAAGGTTTAATGTTTGTAATTCAGAGAAACCGCTGGCTGACTGGACTTCTGCTTCTCCTCACTTCAGCCAGATCCTTCGTGACAGCTACAATCTCATTAGCATCAAGCTGTTTTCTGCTGCCCCTCCTCCGCTCTCCATCTGCATCTGCTCCCACACAGCCGACGTTTAGCTGACATGAGGCGAACGTGATGAGATCATGACTGACCCTCACTAAAAGACACGCTCCAACACGATCGATAATTATTTTGAAATTACAGATTTTATTTTGAAGATACAGATTTTATTTTGAAGTTACATATTTTATTTTGAAGTTAAACTTTTAGTTCATAGTTTTATATAGTTTTAAATCCAGATGAGATGAATTGTGATCTTGTGTCATTTTTATTAATTTTTTCTTTCATTAAAATTTATATTTATGCCATACTTGTGAGTGTCATCAATGCTTTTAGATTATTTATGCACATTTCTTTTTTGTTTATATTTTTGTAACTTTTTTGTTTTTGTGGATGAATTTTTGTCAAGTTTCATACATTTTATTAACCTGATTCTGATGAGATGATTTTTGCAGAATCAGAAAGTGAAAGCCAGAAAAGTTAAGTTTTGTTTCTACTGTTCCTACAGATCACAGCTTTAAAAATAAAGCTGTGATCTATTATTATTATATTAAACTTGCCAGGTTTTATTTTTTAATCTGTTAATGTTGCAGCAAAGAGCAAACAGCTGACGTCGAATATAAAAATGTTTTGTCTTAATTTTTCTTCTGTAGTTTTGTTTATTTTTATGGACTGACTTTCAGTTAAAAGCCACAACCACAAGTTTCCAGAAACCAGAGACACAGTAGGTTTCATTTTGACGTACATCCTGCATTGATTCTGCTTAAGAGAACAGAGGGTAAACCCCCCCACCCACAGATGGTAAAACCCACAGAGGGACCTTTAGTCTTTTAGAGCTATCTCAACCTGATTTTATTTTTTTTTAAACTAATATAAATGACTTTTTATTTCTATTTTAGTGTGTGTGTGAGACTATGTATATATATATATATATATATATATATATGTATGTCTGTAATTTTCATTATAGATACACTTCAACTATGAGAGACAAAATTAGGAAAAAGAATCCAGGAAATCACATTGCAGGATTGTTAATTTATTTGTAAATTATGGTGTAAAATAAGTATTTGGTCAATAACAAACAAGCAAGATTTCTGGCTCTCACAGACCTGTAACTTCTTCTTTAAGAAGCTCTTCTGTCCTCCACTTGTTATCTGTATTAATGTTTGACCTCGTTATCTGTATAAAAGACACCTGTCCACAGCCTCTAACAGCCAGACTCCAAACTCAAGCATGGCCAAGACCAAAGAGCTGTTGAAGGACACCAGGAATAAAACTGTGGACCTGCAGCAGGCTGGGACGAGTGAATCTACAATAGGCAAGCAGGTTAGTAAGAATAAATCAACTGTGGGAGCAATTGTAAGAAAATGGAAGACATACAAGATCATTGATAATCTCCCTCGTTATGGGGCCACACGCAAGATCTCATCCAGTGGGGTCAAAATGAGCATGAGAACGGTGTGCAAAAACCTCAGAACTACACGGAGGGACCTGATGAATGATCTGCAGAGCTGGGACTAAAGTAACAAAGGCTACACACTACGCAGGGAGGGAATGAAATCCTGCAGTGCCAGGCGTGTCCCCCTGCTTGAGCCGGTACATGTCCAGGCCCATCTGAAGTTTGCCAGAGAGCACATGGATGATCCAGAAGAGGATTGGGAGAATATCATGTTGGCAGATAAATCCAAAATAGAACTTTTTGGTAAAAACTCAACTCCTCATGTTTGGAGGAAGAAGAATGCTGAGTTGCATCCCAAGAACACCATACCTACTGTGAAGCATGGGGGTGGAAACATCATGCTTTGGGGCTGTTTTTGTGCAAATGGGACAGGACGACTGATCCGTGTTAAAGGAAGAATGAATGGGGCCACGAATCATGAGATTTTAAACCAAAACCTCCTTCCATCAGTGAGAGCATTGACGATCAAACACAACTGGGTCTTCCAGCATGACGATGATCCCAAACGCACCGCTCGGGCAACGAAGGAGCGGCTCTGTAAAAAGCATTTCAAGGTGTGGCCTAGCCAGTCTCCAGACCTCAACCCCATAGAAAATTTGTGGAGGGAGTTGAAAGTCCACGTTGTCCAGCGACAGCCCCAAAACATCACTGCTCTAGAGGAGATCTGCACGGAGGAATGGGCCAACATCCCAGTTACAGTGTGTGCAAACCTGGTGAAGACTTACAGGAAACCTTTGTGTCGAAGATCTTGGAGAAAATAGTTTACAGTCAGTTAACATCTTTCTTAAACAACCACAACCTTCTTGAACTGTTTCAATCCGGTTTTAAAACTCACCACGGTACTGAGTTGGCACTGTTGAAAGTTTTTAACGACATTCTTTTAGCCACAGACTCTGGTCACTGTGTAGTTTTTGATGCTGCTGGACCTCACCGCTGCCTTCGACACGTGGACCATCAGATCCTCCTGTCTCGTCTGGAGAACTGGGTGGGCATTCAGGGTCCTGCTCTACAGTGGTTTAGATCCTATTTAACTGAGAGAAGCTTTTGTGTGCTCTTTGGTTCTGTGGAATCCTGTGTAGCACCTCTCACATATGGAGTACCTCAGGGATCTGTACTTGGCCCCCTTCTGTTTTCCCTTCATTTACTACCTCTGGCATATATTCTCCGGAAACATGGTATTTCTTTTCATTTTTACGCCGATGACAGCCAAATCTATGTTCCTTTGAAACAAGATAAACAGCACTCCTTGAACCAACTCCTGGAAGGTATGGCAGAAGTCAGAGCAGGATGTCACAGAACTTTTTACACTTTAATGAGAAAAAGATGGAGGTCTTGTTGTTTAAGCCCAGTGATGGTTCTAAAGTCCATGTTGATCTGGGTCTTTTAACCAAACATCTGACTGAGACGGCAACCAATACGACTGGGTGTGAGGCTGGACAATGATTTTAAACTGGATGCTCAGATTAAATCTGTGGTTAAGTCCAGCTTTTATCACCTGAGACAACTGGCCAAGGTGAAACCATTCCTGTCACAACATCATTTTGAGATTTTAATCCATGCTTTCATCACAACTCGTCTGGACTATTGCATTTCACTTTATGTGGGTCTGAGCCAGTCGTTACTGACTCCACTTCAGCTGGTTCAGAACGCTGCTGCTCGTCTTTTAACTGGCACCAGAAAACGAGAGCACATCACCCCCGTCTTAGAATCGCTACACTGGCTCCCAGTTCGTTTCCGGATAAATTTTAAGATTCTTTTGACAAGACAAGCTGACTCACTTCCTGTTTTGAAATCTGCTCGGAAGACTCATTTTTTTTTCTCTTTGGCTTTTAACGCATCTTGAAATGTTGGCTTTACTGTTTTATGTTATTTGTTTTATTGTTGTTACTGTTTGATGTTTTATGATTTGGTAGTTCATTACTTTTATGGTATTTGTTGAGTTCATAGTTTTTATGCTTGTATGTGTTGGTGTAAAGCACTTTGGCCAACGGTGTTGTTTTAAAGTGCTTTATAAATAAAGTTGTATTGTATTGTTTGACCTCTGTTATTGCCAACAAAGATTATGTTACAAAGTACTGAGTTGAACTTTTGTTATTGACCAAATACTTATTTTCCACCATAATTTACAAATAATTTTTTTTAAAAATCCTACAGTGTGATTTCCTGGATTTTTTCCCCTCATTTTGTCTCATAGTTGAAGTTTACCTGTGATGAAAATTACAGACCTCTCTCATCTTTCGTTGTAAAGAAACTTGCACAATCAGTGGCTGACTAAATACTTTTTTGCCCCACTGTGTGTGTGTGTGTGTGTGTGTGTGTGTGTGTGTGTGTGTGTGTGTGTGT